ATTCCATTCCATTCCATTCCATTCCATTCCATTCCATTCCATTCCATTCTAAATTGTCATTGGTGAATAAAAAGATTACAGCTGCTGAAATGCCAGAATCTGAGTCCACCAACATTACACCTGTATGGTGTGTTTTGGTGTGTGATCAGTCAAAAGACTTTCTGGCTGATTCTGCTCCCACTAACATCAATTGCAATTGAAAACACAATGCTGCTCAGCTTTGGAATAAGCCATAAAAAAAAAGAAAAGAGACAACAAAGTATCCACTTGAAAAGTGTTTTGTCAAAAGTAAATGGACCCAGAAGCAGTATCCATGGCCAAGAACATGAAGAAGACACAAAAATCTGCATAAATATTCAAAATCCTTTCTCAGGGTCTGCAGTACTCTACCCAGAGCAGTTAATTTTATGTCAATTATTAACAGTTGGATTTCTAGCGGATGTTGAGGAGGTCTTTATTAAGAACAGCAATCCCTGGTCCCATAAATCCTGTTTTCCCCCCTAAAAATATATACTCCCATCCTGATAATCCTGCAGAACAGTCTGCAAATTTCCACCTGTGCAGCTACAGAGGAGGGACGTGGCACTGCCCATGTGCTCTCCTTCCCCCTCCATCAGTCTTGGAGGGAAGGTTTAAAATGCAAAAAAAACAGAGAGAAAAACATATTTGTTCACTTGACTGGTACTTATATACCAAATCTCCCGCCCCCAAACCAAAAGAAAACCCAACCAAAAAAAAAAGAAAAAAAATTAAGTGCTTAAGAAAGAACAAAGAGGTTGGTCTTACAGGTGGACCTGAAAACATAATTTTCTGCAGAACATGGGTTTACCATCCCTTGGGGTTTAGGACTGGGTCCTGTTGGTGTGTGCAGGCATTTTGGGACTGGCAGCACTGAAGGGGGAGGCTGAGTTGAACCTGCATCACTGCCAGCATCGAAGACACAGAAATATTTAAGCTGATGCACACTCTATCCTGGCATTCAACAGAGAGCGATGCCAACTTCTGGAAAATAGAAGAGCCCCAGGGCAGGCTAATAACAGCACTACTTAAGAAGTAAGACAATTATTACCTCCAACTGTGAAGGAGTCTGAGTAATTAAAAAGGGTTCTTTATTTTGATTAAAAAAGATTCCTTTCAGTCTGTTTGAATCTTTAGTAAAAGCCCTGAACGATATTTTTAGATGCCAGAAAAGACACTGTGCAATTGATGAAAGATGCATAGCAAGCTCATTTGAAAGATTCTCCTATTATCATCATCTTATTGTCCAAAAGCAATTAATTTCTCATTCTTTCACCCACATAACTTGCAGGAGAAAATGCAGGTCTAACCCAAAGCTTCCAAAACCTTCTTTGGATTAACAGAAATCCAAAATTAATTTGGTTTAATTACTATAAATTTCCTTCCCAATAAAATCTTAAGAATTTCCAATCATGCTGATTTATTTGAGTAATTAGAAAGCCATTCACAGATGTCACACTGTTAGGTAGTGTGGATAATGTGGGTTTTGCTTAACTGGATCCTGAGACCACAGCACTGTGAAGAATGACAACTAAAATAACTCCAATAAAAAGTGGGAGAACGAGGGAAGGAGAATGGCAGAACCTCAGGCAGTGCAGGCAGTGCCAGTGGCTTCCCTGGAAACTCATTTCTGTCCATTAGCTGCTCCAATACTACTTGCTCAGTTCCTTGCATTTTGCACCAGGTCTTGAGGGGCTCTGAATTCTGATTTTTCAGAGGAGCCCAAGAGTCCTAGAGATGATGCATCTAAACTAGGGTCACCCCTAAGGGTGGTTTCGAAAGCAAAAGAACTTAAATGGGGGGGATTTAGGTGGGTCCTGCAGGGGGTTTGGGTGGGTGCTGCTTCTCCACAGGGAAAGGTGGTGCAGACACTGCAGGCCCCATTCCCCACAGGCTCATTATTTCATCAACCTGCAGAACAAATGGGATCATGATCCCTTGCAAAGTTATTTTTCAAAGCAGGTGACCTGTACCTGTGTCAAGGTGGAAATCATGCCACCCACATTCAGACATTGATGACTGGGATGCTGGGAGCTCTGCCATACCTGATGGAGAAAACCAAAATCATAAGGGCAATTCCTCTGACCTCATATGGGTCCTTGCTCTACCTGTGGAAAGGCTGAAGGATCAGGTTGAGTCTGGACGAGACTCTTAATTTGATTTTTCTCCCTACTTACTCACAGCAAAGCAAACCCTGTGCTCAGCTGACAAGTGTGCTCTTCCCCAGGAGAGCTCAGCCATGACTGCTCTTGACTATTATTTGCAAGAGTTCTGAGAGTTTCAGGGATTTAAAAATCGTGGAGAGTAACACAGATTTCAGGCTCTCCTTCCCTCCAAGTGAAGAGGAGGATTTAACACATTCTCCCACCAATGCAACACACTTGATTCCATTAGAAAGATAATTAGTGAATTAAAAGAAAGCAGGGTCACCAAACTTGAGAGGAATTATTTAAGTTGCAGTAAATATAAATAAGCAGTTTATAACTGGGGAAAAACATATTTTCAAAGACTCAGTTGTGAGCAGAATCTAACAGCTTAAATCTGACCCTTGACAGTGAATTCCCCCCTTCCCCAATCCTCTCTCCCCCCCCCCAAATTATCTTGGGTTTATACATGCCAGTATTTGACTAATAACATAATATTTAAATACCACAGTAATCTTAGCATCGTAATCCTGACACTCACAGGTTGTCTTAAATAAGGGTCAGCTGAAGAACATGGTGCTGTCCAACCCCCCGAGGCTGTCAGACATCCTCAGCCATAAGAAAATCATCTTTACTTTTGGCTTGAGCCTTTAATGGCTCTGAAAGCTGCTGCTTTTGTCTAAATACATACATTGTACAGCAGTTTAGGAAATAGGTGAAAAGGCTTTAATGGAGAGATTAGTGCTAGACATTGTGAAGCTGCAACTAGGTCACAAGAGATTTCAGAGGTCAGGAAATTTTTGCAGGGCTTAAGTGTTTTGTAATGTAGTTTGGTTTGCCCCTGGACCAGGGCATAATGGATGCTTCAAAACTTGATTAGCACTGGTTAA